CACACACACAAACACACCGACACACCAACAGACACACTTAGCGAATTATATAGAGTAGGACACACAAACACACACACAAACACACCGACACACCAACAGACACACTTAGCGAATTATATAGAGTAGGATAGTGGTGGAGTAAGAAGCTCTTCTGCATCAAATAAACTCTCACCCTTGGATTAGTCTTATCAGTCCGTGTGTATTCATACCCATCTGGATTAAGCACTGGAAAGATATAGATAACAAGATTCTCCAAATAGCTACGGATTTTCGGGTCTTCTTCGCGGTTGTTGACGATCTGAAAGTAATTACTATAAATATCGAAAGGTGACAACGTGAAATGTGACTAAAGATTACGAGGTTGATGAAGTACATCCCGGTGTGAACCGCAGCCCATTCACGAGCATGTATACCGGCATCGATGACTACCACTTTCTTATTAGGTCTGTCTTGGCCGAACTGGAATAGGCCATATTTTGCATAAGCATTCATGGTTTTAGCTATCGATCTCATCAAAATCTTGTAAAAGGTAGTTGTTCTTTACTATCAGGCTTTTTATCGTACATGCGAGATCGCGTAAACCTAAGGCACATTCACGATAACTTCGAGATAGCCACTTTGAATAAAAAAAGTGAGAGTGTTCACGCAGAATAATGCATCGTCAGTGGAGACACGAGAAAATTAGCGAAATAAGCGGAATATACCCTTAAAAGTACTCTTAAAAGTAGTGAAAGTAGGAGTTGTAGAGATTACCGTGACAGGAATGGCATGGAGAGTATACCTTGACGAGATTTTAGTCGTTGCAATTACGAAAAGAATTGCTTTCAATAAGTCAAAAATGATCAATATCGCTTTTCTCCTCTGCCATGAACCCGACTAATTGTTTGAATTTCCAACACGTGCGTACCGAGTGATTTCAGCAGCGTCTATAACGCCTTCAAAACTTCAACGCTTGGCGGTGTGCGTGGTGTAGGCTGATTTATGAGCCCCTTTCGCTCCCACTCCAGGCTGTTTTCGACCAGTCAGCCCCCCTCTACTCACTGGCATACTTGGAAGCCACTGGTTCGTCCTAGTCTTGAAGCTAGGAAACCTTTTTTCCGTGAACTGTGCTTTGAACTGGAAAATGTAAGACGAAATGAGTAACTCGTGAAAGAATTAAACTCAAAAAGAAGTAGACCGATGCGCTCACCTGTAGACCTATTATGTTTCTTCCCTCTGTACTGGTGCCAATGTCAACAACCCTTGCGATCTCTGGCATGCGATCGGCAATCCGCTTCATCCATGCGACGATCGTTGAGTAAGAATAGTACTCACCCATTCTAAGAGGTTTTTTTTCTCAAGCAATTGAATAATAACAAGTCCACCTGCAAATTGTAACTAAATTAACAACCTAAGCTTGCTGACGAATGCACCAGTGTCATCGTGCATTCGAACTAGTTCTTGCTCGTTGACACCTTCGGGATTCGTTTTAATGGTACCCTCCTTTTCGATAAGAAGTCTAAATTGGAGAGTGTTAGTCTTCAAGTACACTTTGTCACTGTATTCAGTACATTTCTATGTGAACAACGTGGCCTCATTTGATTCGCTGGGTGTTAGTGTGGGTTGTGCTTACCTGATAATTGGGTAGCGTTCCGACTTTTAGGGCGGCGAAGGGAGATGATGAGATGGGGACACTAATGGCTGCAAACTAAAAGCGTTCATATTTACAAGTGGTTCTGGAGAGATGCTGGTGATGTGATAGTAAGTGGGAGTAACTGGTCGACACTAACAATAAGTGATAAGGGACTTAGGAAAAAAACGTGAAATAGTGTAATAATTTATTTTCACAAACCAATCGGATCGCCAGGCTGACGTCGAGCTTCCTTTCCTCTTATGACAGTTTTTCATTAATCAGCCGAGCGGGCACCACTTTATTTGTAAGAAATAATACTTCTCCGAACAACAAATATGATACAGGACTATAAGGGCAGCGCAGGTGGTATTCAGAATCTTCCCATTCTTACGCCTATCATTGGAAGTCTCGACCTGTTGTTCTTCCTCTCAAAAATGATGAACCATTAACGGTTCATTTGATGGGCAACCCAAGCCCTAAATGGTTCTCACAAATATTGTCGAGTGATAATAACACCATCACCAGATGTCGTTATTGATGAGACTTCTTTTCTTCAAGAATATATCGCTAGTTGAGAATCCCAGATATTGGTGGTCGGATGAGTTTTGCTGCGAATGATGAAGAAACAAAGGTTCATTGAGTCACAAGCCTTGCATACTCTGCGCTACATACCTCACCTACCTACCCTATTGTAAAATGCCAAGCTTCCAATTTTAACACGAAGGACATAGAAGACCTAGTGGCTATAGCCTTCTATAGCTCTTTGCCAGCCCTTGTCGCTTGTTATCAGTGCTTGCCATCAATCACCTGCGGTCCCCATCACATTCCACACAACTTGCTATAGTGCCAGACCTCTGCCGTTAATACAAAGGGCGTCAAAGAACTAGCGGCTCTTGCCCCGCCACTGTGGACGGTGTCCTAATCCTAGAGCGCTTTTGGCCGCGAGAACAGGAGTTATGAAATTCCGGTCGAACACACACACCGATAAGCTAACAGACACATTTAGCCAATTGTATTTAGTAGGATGATATAGGAAATAATATCGCACGGCATAGTGCCATCGATGAAAATTGATAATGTCTGATAAAAGACTAAAGGAGAAGTAGGAAGAGTTGGAACCGATATATGTATAGCGATACTGATGGAAAGTGATTATAGCTGACCATTGCTTACAAGGGTTGTATGAAAAGCAGGTAATCCGGAATGTGCTACGTCCCTACTGGTCATGAAGTCAACGGTCGTAGTGCATTAACATAGATGATAAGTGAGATTAATTGTCTCTAACTGTATTTCTTTTCTTTATTGCTGCCTTCCATGGATCGGTAGAATAATTGAACGAAGATGTCGGCCAAGTTTCATCAAGGTACAAACTTGGAACGTATCGTTTCGTTCTGTGCTTTTTTGTTGATGAAGATGCGGTGCGGGAAACTGTTTCACTTTCTTCCCTGTTGATACTATTTTGTTTGATATTGGCAAATGATAAAACTACTGAGATTGAGACACTGATGATGAGGGGCAGACAATTTAATGGGCCCATAATGGTGATGCAAGCTGGTGAACGTGAACGACGTAAAGGGGTAAAATAATCTGCCGCGTCTATTAGGATTAGTCCAGCTCCATTACACCATGGAAGCAATGAAAAACTGAAGCTAATTAGGCAGCCAACACAGTGTTAGCGAGAAGGATCCACAAGAACTTGTCAATGCTACCTATCTAAACTAAAGAGAATGTACACGGATACGAAGAGTACCGTGTTAAGAGGGAAAGAGAGGGTGGGATAACGAGTACTGTACCTTCGATATTAAACCTATCTTCTGGCGACAGCCCGATTCTCATTTGAGACTGCGTGTTACGGGATGTGAGCGTTGAATCCTTCGAAGTATGGGTCCTCTACTCCTTACTATCTTAGGAAGTTAAGCTGATGAACAATATATTAGAAACCAGTAATTGAAGCGAGAAGAGAAAGAAAAAGGGAAAAACAAATACTTGTTTTTGCGCCAGTCAATTCATGTTCGAAATACTCAAAGTTCAAAACTTTCTTCTTGAGATCCTCGATGGCGACATGGAAAGGATAATTGTGCGCCTGTAGAAAGTCAGTGAATTTGTCCGTGAATGATGGTGACACCATTACATCTATGGTGCTGTTCACAACACTGGGTGCATGCCAAAAGTCGGCTTCCTGCAATGGAGATCTTTTATTTCAGTCAAAACCTTAAGGGATGGTATGCCCTAGCTATTGACTTACGTACGTCGCTTTTTGCAGTTTCGAATAGGGCGATCATTCTCTTTAGTTGGGCAGTGGTAGTGGGAACAACACGAAATACTTTGAATGACCTACAAGCACTCGATTTTACCATCATACCGGTAATCTGTAATCACCACCTGCCAATGATCCAGTTTTTCGTTCGCAATTTCGCTGCATCAAGTTACCCCTTTGTGATTGCCACTAAATATCACATGCACTAACGAGGGCAACGTTACATCCAGTATGAATTTTCTTGGATGGTGGTAACAAATGATGATGCCAAATAATAATACGATCACTTTGCTTTATAGGGCACTGATCTGCGTTCTTCATAATTTTCATTGACACTTCACGACTCTGATGAATATGGTAACACTCCATCATGTAAAACACACACGTAGGTACATACACACACATACATACACACATACACACATACACACATGCACATACACATACACATACACATACACATACACACATAGACGCACACACAGTGATAAGATGTGCTGATGTCAAGACACCGATGAGAGGAAGTATTAACTTCCTTCCATTAACTGAGCGTGAAATCAAGCAGTATTAAAAATTACCGATGAAAACCCTGATAATGTTATTGCGATTGTTCCTACCAACGGCATATAATTCATTATATCAACTTTTTTAGAAGTGAGTAATATCAAAAAACGCTGAGCTTTTTTGGCAGGAAACATGCACGAAGGTTGCATGAAAACTGAAATGGCAAACTGTTATCCCACCACGATGCGAACGTCACCGTCATCAATACCCATTATAAACGCTTCTAATTTCTCTCGTTTGTGCTTTGCCATCCCAGAAAAGAGGAACCATTATGAGACTAATTGCTCGTCGTTCCTTATTACAATTCACTGAATGTTACCACTTTTTGCTACACTCCACAGACGCTCCACTGTTAGAGAAAGAACGCGAAAACTCAACGGATGGCGCTTTGGACTCCCTTTCGCCCATTACTGATTTCCTTTCCTTCAGACAGCGCATCACCGCTGCAGGAAAGCGCGCATCGAAGTTCTTGACATTTATTTGCTATTACTCGTTAAAGGCACAGTTCACGATAATTTTGAGGTATCCGTTTTTATTCGAAAAGCGGAAGCATAGATTGGGAATAGTTCATCGGCAGCGAAGGAAGCGAAAGAATTCGTCGATTTCGAGAATAATATGGCTTCCCAAAAGCAGGGAAAATAGAGGTTGGACCAGATCAACATGAACAAACAACATGGAATGAGCATTCGGACGAGATTTCAGTTGTTGCAATTGCGCAAAGAGCTGACTACATCAAGCCAGAACTGTACAGAACTCGCTATGGGTCATGACAAGTTGTTTGAACTTCCCACATGGGTTCCCTTATGATCGGTGCACCCTCTACACTGCCGGTGAAGCTCGTCCGTGGATTCACACGGGCCAATCTTTGAGCCTTCATAACTTCCTGACTAGGCCGTTTTCCTATCTAATGGTGTTAGATATGGTATACGCGGGGGACTCAAATTCATCCTGTAGGCGAATCTCAGAAAGCATTTTTATCGGAAACTGTGCCTTTAACATAACTAACCGTCTTTTATGGAATCATGCCACTTTGAACATAATTATAGAAAGCTGAGAGCAAAAATGTTCGGCTACAAAGGCAGCGAGATTGGCAAATGATAAAAAACGTAGGCGAAAATCAGTGATGACGGGCACAGAGAGCGATTTAGACTAGACATCAAAAGGTGTCCAAGATTGATGAGAGTTAGTTACTTAAGAGATTAGAAAAATCTTGGTGTCCTGTTATAGTAATGTGATAGAACACCTATTGAGTTTCAGTAATTTAATTTGTTTTTGCTCTAATTCTGATACTGCTAGTGTTAGAAGCTCCGCTTTTTCTTCATATGGCAAAATTCTACAATAATATGAAAAGCAGAGGGCAATGACTTCTTTGTAAATGTTCTTTGCGCCAGTCAAACCAGTCATAATGCTGTAGAACTTCGACAAAAAATTGTGGACTGCGATTATGATATCCCTTTTATCAACACGCTGACACGACTCACCCATCTTCATCCAAGTTTGCGCTATGTGTTGAGGCAGTATTGAGCAACAAATATGTACAGACAAGCCATGATAACATCTGCAACAGAAGTGATTTCGAAGGTCGATTTCACCGTTCAGAAGGGTGTAAAGCGAATCTTGTTGATGCGTGACGATACGCTACCCAGAGATCACTGTCAAGTTTGGAGAAGGGGAAAGGTGTCTGGCATCGCCTAAATAAAATTCGAGAATCTTACTTTATTCAATGACGTCAGGCAGACATCACTTTTCCTCCGCATAAATATAAGTAGTAGAAACTCATTAACAGTGCTTCATTCGTATCACCCTGCCAACGCCGGGCACTCTTCCTTTTGTATTGGGTTGTCCTGTCGCCTAGATTTCCGTCCAAGTACACGAGCCCACACAACACTTTACGGTTTTTACTCTATATATAATATAATGTATAATGTCGGACTGTCGTCCGTGGAACTTTACGGTTACGATAAAGGTAGTGATATGGAAGACCCAGCTCTACTGTACATTCCCTTCTCACATATAAAGCAGTACATAACTTGGTGGCTAGTTCAATGGAGTAGAGTGAGTACTGCATTGTGGAGTTAGTAATAGGAAGTGGGTACTTCAAATTGTGATTTCGATCTGCACTGGTATTGTGCTATGTATGCTATACAAAAATCGGAGATGATAATGTAGTTGAGAGCCCTCCGCTTTTTTCAACATTGAGCGCTAGAGCGCAGATAAGGAGGTTGGCCCATAATTGTGCTAAAAAACCTTTCTTAACCTAGAATATGCAGCTCTCGACCAAGGCATTAGGGGAGAAGGAGCACTCGGGTGTATGAGTCGGTTGAATATTCAACTCATACCCATTCTTAGCTTTTTGCCCGAATAATCTCCCCCCCCCCCCCCCCC